ATATTATATTACAGTTAAATATTTAATGTAATATAATAATTGTGAAATATAATTAATTAATTAAAAAAAACCTGATTTTTGCAAATTTAAACTTTGGGACCTGATTTTTAATTTTGGTAAAGTAAATGCCTGAACCATAAATTTTTCCCTGTTTTTAATTTAGTGCAAATTACCAAATTCCCTACTTTTCAAGATCTATTTTCCAAAATCAGATTTCAAGTTTTAATTATATATATATAGTGTATGTATATGTCAAATATCTGATTTTAAAAATTTCAAAATTGTTATCTTATTTTTGAAATGGTATGTAGGGAAAATCTCATAAAATGAATTTTTCCCTTTAATTTATCCATTATAAAGAATGAGAAAAATAATAGGAAAAGTTACCACCACACCTACTTTTTATTCCAACAAGTATAAAATTTATTTTTTAAAAAAAACAAGTGTACCCTATCCTCACCCCACCCCACCCCACCACATCATAACCCTAAAACCATTTTTACCTAAAATTTTCCCATAGTCCCAAACCGTCGATCGCCACCTCTATTCCCACAATCCCAATAAATGTCGAGCGCCATCGCCCTTCTTTTCCTCGTCGCCTACCACCACCTCTACCTCAATTCCCATAGTCGCAAATCAATGAACGACGACCACCACTGCCCTCCTCTTCCTGATCATTGATGTTATAAGTAGTGATGAACGTCGTTCTTCCAGTGCAACATCGTGTTGATGCTATTGTAACAGCATTGCTCAACGTTGTAGCAATTTGTGTAGCGGTGACGGGCGTCGTCGCAACAACTACGCTCATCGTTAGTGTTATAAGCAGTGGGGCGTGTCGTTGCTTTCTATGCAAGTAGTGTTGATAGGTTTTTGGTGCGTTCGATAGTGTTGATGGGTTTTTTGTGCGATCTAGGTGGTGACGATGATGGTTGTAGGTGTGATTTTGGTAGTGGTGATGGTTGTTGGTATGGTTGTGATGGTTTTGATGTGATACGTGGGTGTTGGTACAGGTGGTGATAGTGGTAGTGTAGTGTAGTGGTGGAGATGGTTGGTAGTGGTGGCAGTAGCATTTGGGTAATGTCAATGGTGATGGTTGTTGGTGCATGTGGTGGTTGGGGTGGTGGTGGTGGTGCAATGACGGTGGTGATGGGGTGGAAGCAATATTTGAGTGATGCTAATGGGAGTAATGATGGACTAGTGGGGTAGGACAAAGAACATTTGTGACCAATTATTTGGTTAATTATGATTAATAAATGGTAATTTGTCACTAATATGTAATATGTGACCTTGATCCAAAACAACTTTTGAGTTTCAAAACCTCATTCTGACTTCTTAAAAGCCATGCCAAACATGTAATGAATCTCTCTTTCATAATCCATAGTTTTGCTGATTTTAAATTATTTTATGCATATATTCTGTACATTTTATAGTGTCGTCGTTTTCAAAATAAATAAATAAAATCTTATACCCTTCTTAATGTTTCTTTAAATGAAAATCCTAGAAAAGAATATGAAAATAGACCTAAATTTGGGGAGGTGTTTGAAAGTTTGACAAAAGATAATGTGATGTAAAATATATTATATTGCTAAAACAAAGAGAACGGAGGGATCATATCAATTTAAAACAGTTATGATATTCATGTAAACTCAGGGTAGATATAGGGGATAAAAAAAAAGTCATATCGAGCTGATACATAGAAAAAAAATTCATTATAGCATTAAGTTTTTTTAGCCTCAGCCCGCCCCTCCCCTCCTTGTGTAAACTAAAAGTAGAGTTGTTCTGAAAGATGTATTTTATTCATCATGAAGATTATGAACCTATTTTTATCTGAAAGTCTGAATAATTAGTCAATAGTTGAAAAATTATAATATGAGAGAAATTGAATGGAGAGACAATTAGGCAAAGTTGTAGCTATGGTTTAAGTTGTGTACCTTATAACGAGAAAGATGTTGTTTGACAAAGTTTTTTTTTTTTATAAAAAATGATTAAATGCGTTGTCGAAAAATTGTTAAAATGTGTGAATTCTATAAAACACGTGACTAAAAGTAATTGTTGACTTTAATCTTAACTTTTTAGCAACTATTTAAGCAATCATGCACTAAATGTTCCCCGACACTTCACAAAGTCCTAATTAGACCTCAAGCATCGACATGAATGTCATGATTACATCCTACCCATTTTGATTGATACCACAAATTTCTAGTCAAAGATAAGCCAAATAACAAGTGATTTGTTAGGTCACGTGTATGCCTCGTAAAATATGGGTATAACAATAACAAACTTCAGTGACAAACACAAGAAATGTAATAAATGATATCATAACCCGTAAAAGAGTTTGGTATATTGGAATGGATACGACTAAAGAAAGAAAAATGTGTCTATCTGGCCTTTGTTTGGCCCCCATTATATTAAATTACATTACATTAAATTTTTCTCTCTCTTCATTACAACCACACATTCATCAAATAAAATAATATTACACACAAATCTAAAACCATTCATTACTTTTCCACCACACATTCTCCCATCAATCACTATTCCAAAAATTTTCAACCCTAAAAAATGCCAAATAATGGGGGCCAAACAGGGGCCTGATGTGATCTAAGGAAGACAACAAACTATCGAATGTTTGATATACGTTGAGAAGAGGCTATGGATAAATTCGAGATCAAATAGAGTTAATGAAGCCAAGAGCGAAAAAAAGTTGGAATGTTTTGGAATCAAGAACTCAAAACTTAGAGGCAGGACGGACTGCTATGCCACCGCATAGTACAAAATTGGGTGCAGCCGTATACCTTTATACCGCATCAAAATTGAAGGCTGTCAATTGGTCAATGCGACTTCATGTAGGAAGCCTATGCGGCCGCATAGTGCAATTCTGGACATGAATTTTCTAAATTTCGCGTAATCTTCTAATTTAAGTAAAACTCTATTTTGTAATATATTTTGTTATTTTTAGAGTTTAATTCTGTTTTCTAGCTAGGTTTTATGGATTCCCTATAAATGAGATTCATTCTATTCATTGTAAAATATACAATTTCAGAGATTTTACTGCAAAACGTATTGCTTTCTTCTCATTCTTCATTGAATTAATTGTGAACTTATCAAAAATATTTCTTATGGCGCTCAAACAAATCAAATGAGATTTTTGAGTCTTGTAATCACGGGGTCAATATATTGTCGGCGATTGTGTTGGTTCCTTGATTCAATCTTTTTGAATCAAGTTTAAACGTTGATTTCTTGGCTTTCTGGGTTGAATTAATCTTGTGTAGGTTTCGTAGCTACCATTGCAACGTGAGTTCGCATGAATTGGTATCAGAGCAAGACTCCAAAAATCAAGGTTATATCCTATTTATTTTTTCCTTTTTGTTTGAGTCTTTTATTATTTTTCGTGTTCTTCACGTTCTTCATTTTTGAGCCTCCAATCCAAAAAAAATTTCAAAACTTGTTCGTATGCTCATTTAGCATCCAAATCAGTTTTTGTTTCTTTTACTCGTATTGAGTTGAATTATCGAGCAAAGAAAATGAAAATTCAAAAAATTGCCAACAGCGTACAATTTCATTGTTTTTGAGTAAAAAATAATTCACAATTCAAAAGTGTCCAATTCAAATTCAAGAAACACCTTCTTGAATATTTTCTTAGTGTCCATTCAAAGCGTCAATTCGTAATTTTTGAGTCTTTTTAGAGTCAATTTTTCTTACTTAAATCTTTGTTTGAAACTCTACAAGAATTAATTTTGATTGAGATCGAATTAATTCTTTGAAGCATTTGTAAGAAAGTATCGAGTGGAAAAATGCAAGAGTGGTAAGACTAATAGAAGGAAAAGCCAATTTGAGTGATATACGAGCGCATACACGTGAAGAAAATATTAAATTATAATTAGGATGTAGGATAGAGACAACTCTACTTCGAACATGAATAATAGTCAAGTCAACATGCTGGATGAGGTGATACGATGTTTTGAAAGGTTGTTTGAGCATGTGAGAGACAGATTGGATCGACAAGATACATTGTTTGCTAACTTACGTAGGGATCAACCTAGAGATATTCCTAACGCAGATAGGCAAGGAAGGCAGGATCATCGAGCGAATTTTGTTGGTGAATGAGCAGATTGTGACATTAATGAGGATGCATTGGTGGATGTCGAGTTAGGAAGAATGAGAGATAGAGGAGTTAGCAAGAAATGAGGGGTAGAGATCTTGTTGGAGATGGTGTTGATAGAAGTATGGGCAATATCAAAATAACAATTTCTTCATTCAAAGGAATGAGTGATCCGGAGGCATACATGGAGTAGGAAAAGAAAGTAGAATTGATATTTGATTACCACAACTAAAAAGAAGATAAAGATTGCGGCTCTTGAATTTATCGATTGTGGTATCATTTGGTGGAATCAAGTAGTAACATCCAGGAGGAGGAACCGTGAAAGGTTTATTAATACATAGGAAGAATTGAAAGCTATCATGAGGAAGTGGTTCGTGCCTAATCATTATTATAGGGATCATAAAAAATTGCAAAGTCTCTACCAAAGTTCTAGGAGTGTGGAGGATTATCACAAGGAGATGAAGTTTGCTATGATTAGAGCGAATGTTGAGGAGGATAAGGAAGCCACAATGGCCCGATTTTTGAGTGGTTTGAATAGAGATGTAGCCAATGTAGTATAGTTGCAACATTATGTGAAGTGGAATACATGCTACATGTAGCTATAAAGTTGAAAAGACAATTGAAGAGAAAGAGAACAATTAGATATATATCGGGTTCTTCGAGTTCTAACTCTTATTGGAAACGAAGTGGGATGATAATAGAGGTGATGAGACTGTTTCGAGTAGTAAGACCGAACCATCAAGGGAAAATGAGGAAGTTGTTAGCAAAATTACACCCAGGCCCTGTTTGGAAGGGATTTAGATTTTTCTACAGTAAATCAATTCTCATTTTCAATCACACATTCTTCAATAAAATAATATTTTCTACCACATCAATAATTTTTTCTTCTTTTTCAACCACACATTTCCCATCATATAACTATTCAAAATCAATTCTTCTCCCAAAAATCCCTCCCGAACACGCTCCCAAAATGGATTCCCACCCTTCTAAGACACATGTAGGGGTGGGCAAAAAACCGCCCAACCCGCTCGAACCGACCGGTTCGGGTCGGTTTTTTTTATTTTTTTAAGCTGGGTTGGGTTTTTTTCTCCTTGGCGGGTCGGTTTGGGTCGGGTCACGGGTTGGGACACAAAAACCGCCCAAACCCGCCCGACCCAACCCGCAAAATGGAAAAAAAAAAAAAAGAAACGTGGGTTATTAGCATTTAGCGTGTCCCAGACTCCAATTCCCAGTCTCCCAAACTCCCAGCTCATTTCTTGAAATTCGAAACCAAGCTCAAGCTGCTCAACCCGATACAAACCCTAGAAAATCTCTCCTCTCCCCGTCTCCCGCAGGCCATAGCCCCGCTAAAATCGTCGACGGCGCTGGTAAGGTGGAACGCAGATCTTTTCTTCGACTGGTGAGTAGTTATCGACTTCTATTTTACTATTTTGTTTTGGTACTCATGTAAAGAAACTGCAGAATTTATACCAAACGAAAACTCTTGCAACTTATTATATAAAGGAAGAACAAGTACCACTTACCAGGAAGTTGACATAAGCAGCAAATTTTGGGTGGACAAGTTGATTTTTTTTATTTTTGTTTTGTTTCTTTTTCTGTTGTTGAACTTGGAAAATGGGAACCCAAGTAATTTTTGTGCTAATGGTCTACGATTTTCTGTTTCAGGTTATGCTCTTGCCTTGGATATGACATGACAGCGAGGGAAATCCAATCTACTGCTAAGGTGTAAATATTTCTTCTTTTTCTTCTTATTATATTTGTAAAAAAGAAATTTCTTGTTATTCATAGATCAATGAAATCACTTGTTAATGATTCTGCTTTATATGTAACTTTTGGCAGGGAAAGGAAAAGACCTTTTGGAGCATGCTATAACAGAACATAAGTTATCCTTAAGCAGATGGACTCAGGTTTAGTATATTCTTCCTTTCTTGTAGACTATAGTGCATTAATAATTGTAATGTAATGTATGTATTTGGTTTGTTCGTAGTTCATAATTTCTTTAATGTAACTTTAACTTTTAGTGCCTCATTGCACGTTACTGCCTGTACTTTTGCTATAACAGAACATAAGTTATCCTTGGTGAAAGTGATTAGGTTTGTAAGTTACTGGGTGCCTCTTGTTAATCTAATTTTTAGTATGGTTCAAGAGATTATAAATGGGCAGGTAACTTAGTTCTTCAATTGATGCAAAGATGGATGCATATAGAACTTAGTTCTGTCAACATGTATACATTATGTATATGCTGTCATATATGTTGTGTGTTAGCAGATGGCTGAAGTCACAGATTTTTGCTTGTGGCAACTGCCAAGTCCCAATAGTTTTGCAGAGGCTGAAGACACATATTTTTGCTTGTGCCAACTGCCAAGTCCCAATGGTTTTGCTGGGGCTGAAGTTACAGCTTTTTTCTTTTGCCAAGTCCCAATAGTTTTTTGTCTAAGTATTGTAAATTGGTAATTAAATATGTAAATTGTTAACGTTGCTCTATATTCTGTAAAAAAAATAGTATTGTGGGACTTTAATGTTTGTTGGCAGGTTGTTCCAACTTCCAACCCGACCGACCCAACCCAACCCGACCGACATTTGATTGGGTTGGGTTGGGTTTCAATTTTTACGTGGGATGGGTTGGGTTGAATTTCAATAAAACCGATTGTGTTGGGTTGGGTTTGGGTTGGGGCAAAAACCGACCCAACCCAACCCACGTCCACCCCTAGACACATGATATCAAATGCTTCAGGTGTTTGGGACTGGGGGCACATTGCTTCTCAATGTCCAAACAAAAGGGCAATGATCTTGCGTGACAATGGAGAAGTAGTAAATGACAGTGATGGTGATGATATGCCCGCGTTAGATGATGCTAATGAAGAAGATAGAAAGAGTACCCGCTTGGAGGTGAATTACTTGTGGTGATGCGTGTTCTCAATATACAGATTAAACTGGATGATGTGGAGCATCAACGAGAGAACGTCTTTCATAAAGATGCCATGTAAAAAATAAGGTATATAGTTTGATTATTGATGGGGATAGTTGTACTAATATTGCTAATACTACATTTATTGAGAAATTATTATTGACTATGATAAAACATCATAAGCCTTATAAATTGCAGTGGTTAGATGAATGTGGAGAGGTTAAGATGAACATGAGAGTTTTGGTGAATTTCTCAATTGGGAGGTATAGTGATAAAGTGATGTGTGATGTGATTCATTTGCATGCATTACACATTTTGTTAGGAAAGCCATGACAGTATGATATGAATGTTAAACATGATGGATTCAAGAATATGTACAACTTTGTAAAAGACGGGAGAGTTGTCACGCTTATACCATTAACAATGCAACATGTTTATGAGAACCAATTGAGATTGAAAGGTGATGAAGAAAAGAAAAACAAAGAAAGGCAAAAGGAAATGGTGAAGTTCAAGCTATGGAGTCCAAGATGGTGAAGTTAATAAGCCAAAGACCAAGTTCTATGTTGGACATGGGAACGGAAACAAGTTGGAATGCTTTGAAATCAAAAACTCAAAATTTGGAGTTAGGACGGACTGCTATGCGACCGCATAGTACAAAACTGGGCCCTATCGCATGTCTTTATACCGAATCAAAAATGAAGGCTGTCAATTGGTCTATGCGACTACATGTAGGAAGCCTATGCGGCCGCATAGTGCAATTCTGGATGCGAATTTTCTAAATTCCGCGTAATCTTCTATTTTAGTTAAAACTCTATTTTGTAATATATTTTGTTATTTTTAGAGTTTAATTTCGCTTTCTAGTTAGGTTTTATGAGTTCCATATTAATGGGACTCATTCTATTCATTATAAAATACACAATTTCAGAGATTTTACTGCAAGACATATTGATTTCTTCTCGTTCTTCATTGAATTAATTGTGAACTTATCAAGAATATTTTTTGTGGTGTTCAAACTAATCGAATGAGATTTTTAAGTCTTGTA